CTGTGATGTATCACCTGTGACGTATCAGCTGTGATGTATCACCTGTGATCACAGCACCTGTGATGTATGTCAGAACGGTACCTTTCCCAGCAGCCCTTTGTGTTTGGACAGGATGCTGCCTCTGTTCTTCACAGCTACGTCCAGAGTTCTTCTGTGGAGCTCCACCATAGAAACACTGAACTCAAAGCTTCAAAAACAAACAAAGGTCAAAGGTCAATGCTGTTGAATAAAGCACAGCGTCTCAGTTTTTTTTGTCCGCCTCTAATTTCCTGTCTTTCTCCTGACAACTGGATCTGAGGCTTCATCCATTGGACGATTTATTTGACTGCACTGTTACTGTACCAGATACAGTAACAGTTCATTCACTTTAAAACAACAAAAATGTCTGGAAATAAACCAATGTTGGTGATAAAGTGAAAAAATAAGCATAAAAAGTCAGTTTACAGTTAGACTGATTCATATATAATAAAACTATATTCATATTTATATAAAACTAGTTATTGGAAAACATGACCCGAGCTGTAAAAGAAATAAATAAATAAAATAAAATGATATTGTCATCATAATTTCTTTTAGAATTCCTGATCATTAATTAATAAGATGTAAAACAACACATTGTCCGAAAATTACAAAAAAAAATCCCAAATTAAAAAAATTAAATTGGTAAAAGTTTAGAATATGTTGGTATAAGTCAAAATAACTGACCATGAATGTTAGCTAGTTACAAAGAGTTAAAAGTTAGTAGGAATATTAGAAAAAGAGCTAATCTGTTAGCTGGAAGCTAAAAGTGAGTGTAACTGAGACCCCAGACCCACGTTTGATCGTAGACCGGGTTCAGGCTCCTCCTGATGGTGCTGCTCCTCCTCCTCCCCGTCCGACTCTTGTCAGGCAGTAAATAGAGGCGGACGAAGGGGTCGGAGCCATCTTTGGTCAAGGCTATCAGGTTACTGAGGACACGCAGGACAAAACTGTTTCAGTCACATGTTGGTGGTTGATGTTGACCATCCAAACAACAATGGCTGTTAGCCGTGTGCTAACAAACAGTACCAGACAGTACCAGGAGCCAGGAACAACAGTGAAAAGAAGTTATTTTTCTTTTTGGTGAATGTTTGTAAATACAGAGTGTAAACATGATGATGATGATGATGATGAAGAGCTCACCGGCAGGAGTGCACCACCACAATCAGCTTGTTCCTCTGGGAGCTGTGTCTAACAGTCAACTGGACCTCACCCAGGGGGAACTGACCTGGAGCAGAACCACTGGAACCACAACACAGACAGACAGTCAGACAGACAGTCAGTCAGACAGACAGACAGACAGACAGACAGTCAGTCAGTCAGACAGTCAGTCAGACAGTCAGGCAGACAGTCAGTCAGACAGTCAGACAGACAGACAGACAGACAGTCAGACAGACAGTCAGACAGACAGTCAGTCAGACAGTCAGTCAGACAGTCAGGCAGACAGTCAGTCAGACAGTCAGACAGACAGACAGACAGACAGTCAGTCAGTCAGTCAGACAGACAGACAGTCAGTCAGACAGACAGTCAGTCAGTCAGACAGACAGATTTAGCAGGAATAGACTAAGCTAAGGTTATAGCCAAGCAGCTAGCTCAGTTAGCAAAGGTTCTGGCTCCTATTTTTACTACTATTATTATTACTATTATCATTATTTTGTTATTAGTATCATTATTAATATTATTACCATCATTATTACTATTATCATTAATACTCCTACTGACAGTGACAGTCAACCTGTCTCCAGTCACTCAGTCCAT